GATTCTCACCTCATTTGAGTTTGACCCTGAATCAGAGTCAGAGCGGGCAAATCGCTGGTGCTTCATCTGTGGAAAACAAGAAAGTTACCAAGTCACAAGCTGGCCCCCAGCTATATCATGTTTAGTATACTGTGCTGTGTTATATTTTTTTAATACACATACAATCATTGTAACAGCTCTTCCTAAGAGAAAAATCTCACTGTTAACAAAGGATGTCAAGTCAAAAATCTTTAACTATTATTGTAGTTTACTTTTTTTCTTTAATGATATTCAGCTAATGTTTACTCTGTCCACAGATTCTTAAGCAGATTGAAGATTTATGAATGGTCCAAGACAAAATTAGGAAAATCAGGTGTAAATATTTCAGTCAATGAACAACAACAAATCAATCCAACATCACTCTATGAAGCATAAAACACTTAGGTTAATGCAATCATCAATGCAAAGTAATCAGGGAAATCTACAATCTTAATTTTCTCTACTTTTTTTAAATAGCTTATAATATTGTCACACTTACTGGTTGAGCCACAATGAGGCTCAGGAGGCATCCCAGAATAAGTGCTACCTTCAGCATGGTTGTAATGATCTTAGCTGTAGGAGAAAGAATACAGTCTTTGTCAAGTAAACTGATGGGTTCAAGTCCATAATAAAAAGACAAATTAAGCATAGCTTTATATACTCACTGTAGTCTCACAGATTGTCAAAGTGGGGGTGATGATGAGCTGAATTTTGGACTCCTCTTATATACAGTATCAGGATCAGAGGCATTGGGAAACTGTTGGTTAAAGGATTAAACCTGGTTGCAATATCTAATTATTGATTTGATACAGAAACCACACCTCTAAATCTCTTAATGTAACAATATTGGATAATATTATTCCTTAAATCCCTTAAAAGTTATTAAAACTTCTGCAGCAGGTTAACTCATTCTTGTCCCTTCAATAGGGAGGTTAAAACCAGAGACATGACACAAGCAAAAACCAGACAAGTTTGCATTCATAACAATATAATAATGCAACTTTATTGATCACAAATTGGAGAAATTTACCTTGCATTCAACCCATCCCCTTGGAGAGCAGTGGGCTGCCATTGTGTGGCACCTGGGGAGCAGTTTGGGGTTAAGGGTTTTGCTCAGGGACCCAGAGTGGAGGCTGTGGGGATCAAACCGGCAGTGTTGGGCAAGCTACTTGTCCAGTGTAGTGAGCTAAGCTATCAGTTACTCAACAATAAATTAAGCTTCACTACACCAAAGCTACCACCTAAAGAATTATAGCAAGCTAAGTTACACTAATTTGTTAAAAGTAGCTTAACTACATCAGAAGCTACTTAACATTGTACCAACCTAATATCAATTCAAAATGAGTCTGACACACTAGTTAAAACATTTATTAAAGATCAGCCAATGACATAACACAGTGTAAGAATTGTTTTATGGTCATAATAAAAAAACTAAAGTATTTACTACTAGACAAAAAATAAACAATCTGCTGTTATTAGAACCAAATTAAAGGTACTGTGTAGTGTTCTACACATCGAGACATGGCTATGAGTTAACATTCAATGGACATCTCTAGCGAAAACAAAACCCTACAAAAGGCATCTTATTTCTTTAGGGTCTCCCTTAGAGAAAACTTCTTCAGACCTCAGTTAAACAGTCAATTCAAGTAACAAATGAAACTGTTGACAAAAAAGGTGAAAAAATAAAGAAGCTAATTAAGAGATATATATACATTTAGGTCTCACTGTATAATTTAATTTCTACCTACATATCTATTCATTGTATTTTGGGGGTAATTAATTGAATGCTTATTTATTTATTGAGCATGTATTTATTTATGTATTTATTTTATTATACGGTAGAGCTGTTCCTCCATACCAAAAATCTGTGCAAATAAGCCTTAAAACAGATTTATGTAAACAACCTGTCTGGTAAATTAGGCCATGAAAATACAATATCTAAGTTTGGCGACTGCTCTCTAATGAGAATATATCTTAGAGGCACTCATCAGATTTAACTATCTGGAAATTAAAGGCTCCAATAAAGTTAAAGCTGATATATTTTTCTCATTTTTATTTAAAAAAATTGACTGCAGTTGCTTGTTTTAATGAGTGTTTGGCTATGTAAAACAAATGGCTAGTCTTGGCCACATGAAATCTCTATGGCCAAGAACCGAAATTTGAACACGTACTTTTTATCAGAGGATTCAACAAGTTTCAAAATCTCTGAAGATAAGGCGCTCTGCTCCTGTCTCCTCCTCCATCCTGTGTGCGTGGTTCTGTGTGTCTGCGTGTGTCTGCGTGTGTCATTCTTTGAGTTCCACTGCAGTGCGCATGCGCATGTTTCGTAGACACAGACAGGAGAGGCAGAATAGAGGCTCATGCGTGAATGTCCAACGAATAACTCAGATTGTTGTTTCAAAAATAGAAAACCTGCTTTCATTACTTAGTTATGCCCTGGATTTTGTAGCGTTTGTGGACGCTACATCGCTACTTGATAAAAATAATAACGTCACTACTGGAACGTAACTTGGTAAATAAAGCAGCGACACTACGGTCAAGCTACTGGAAAATGTAGTTAAACTAATAGCTTCGCTACATGTAGCGGCGCTACTGCCCATCACTGCAAACCGGTTACTTGCAACATTCTCAGAGCATAAGTGTGCTGCTCTAGCCACTAGGCCAATACTCCCTTTATGCATGTCCACTTATGTTTTAGAAATTTTTTTGCACAGTTTCAAGACACTATATTTTTAATCAGTTTGGTTTAGAGCCTAAATATCATTACAATTGTCACGTCTTTAGTTGCATCACATAATCAGAACAGCCCTTGGTGAAAATGTATATTTGCATTTTCTTACAAGACAAAGTGCTACACTAAGTCACTAACATGTTGTTGAAATATTTAACCGTACCAAACACATGCAACAAAAATTTGGCCACCAATAATTTTCGGTCGAAATGGACAAAAAAGTTTAACATCGAAACAACTCGAGCGAAACTTATGATGATGAAACAAACAGCACATCCGACATGACGACTCCATCTGTGGCTCATATGTTTAAAAAGACAAGAAATTTTTCCCAATGATTCTGCCATGGCAAAGGCCATGTCACTGATTTATTGAAAAGCTTTGAGTTGAGTGAGGGTTAGTAAACATTGTGGGCAAAAATGCTATGGTTCTAATGTTTGACATAATCATTTCATTAGGTGCTTCAGTTTTTGAGAGAGAGAGAGAGAGAGAGAGAGAGAGAGAGAGAGAGAGAGAGAGAGATGGATGGATAGATAGATAGATAGACAGACAGACAGACAGACAGACAGACAGACAGACAGACAGACAGACAGACAGACAGACAGACAGACAGACAGACAGATAGATAGATAGATAGATAGATAGATCTTTTGGAAGCAAACATTTTGACGTTTCAGTGAGTGAGTGCTTGTTGCTATGATGTGTCTGTGCTCATCAGCTTTGGTTGTTGTAAACCAACCAATTAGTGCACAGCTCATCTAAATATTCATGAGCATACCATAAAAGAAAGAAAACCTGTCGTTTCATTCTAGGCCTTTTAACCCGTGTTGCATTAGGGCTCAAAAAACAACAAAGATGCAATTTTCAGCCCAACCAATGTTATACACCCTGTTCAGAGACCTTAAGGACCAGCACCAAATACTGTACATAATCATTCAATGACCCCTGTTCATTGTCCTACCTTACATCCAGTGCAGACCATGGTCACCTCCTTCCTCTCACCTGGACTGGTGCTTTCGGCCATGCCATATATAAGAGCTACCCACAAATCTAATGTCAACCAAAAGCAGCTCTGGATGAACCAACAAGATCTACTTTTCAGTGCTTCCTTGGCATTTCCAAGAACTGATGATGCACCAAAGCTGTGCATAGAGAAGAATTAAGCAGCAGTCTCTAACATATGTTTCACCTGTTTTTTATTGTGCTTAGGCGAGTCTGACAGGTTGCCAGGGATAACAGCAGATCCAAACTGAAGGATCCAGGTGGTTGAAGTACCAGCCTACTAAATACTGTGAAACAATAATTCCATCCAATAAATTCTATAAATAACTATGCCAGCACAGGAATGCTATATTATGTATGTGATAGCTTATTAGTTGCAACAAGTGTAGCACTAACATCTAAAACGATTCTTAAAAAAACAAAAGCAGCACAAACAACAGTTTTACCTGCATGCATCTGTACAAAAGTAGCACTGAAAGCATACACCACTTTGATTCAACTCAGAGTTTAATGGGGGATGGTTGACTTCTGGATGACATAAGAAATAATCTTTAGTATCTTTTAAAAAAAAAAGTAGCATAAATGCTCTATTTCTTTACAATTGCTAATTTTTAAGTCTTCAGAAAGTTAATTAACATTGAGAATATTTGTTAACATTATGCTAAATGTGTAAGTTTTATTTACATAATGTACATTATAAAGTCCTTCTGATACACTTTATTTGTTAAATTACTCACCTTCATGACTTATTATGTGAAACTGTCCAATTAAGATATGTAGGTGATATACCAATGCTTGCTTTACATGAAATAGCAGTGGTATCTAGGCAGAGAACCCTACTCTACAATTTTTTTGATCAAGAATTGTGGTGTATAATTATAAAAACATTGTGCAATTCTATTTATCATACGCTCTGATTTACGTTTAGAATGGTATTTAATAGAGTTAAAAAATTAGATGTATCTCCCTTAAAAGCATCTCCTGTATTTACCCCGAAACGCAAAGTTTGTATTATGATTGTGTGTTGAATATTCTTGATGATTTGTGAGCAGACTGCTATTCTGTATGCCTCATAATTTCAAATAAAAGGTCAGGGTAAAAAATATCACCCTCCATAGCAAAAAGCCTTAACAGTGGTAGAGATCGTGAAGTTCTTAACCATCTCTTTTTTTTCTGATGGCTGATGGCTTTAAATAATGAATGACAATATGTTTTAAAATCTTTACGACAAGGAACAACAAGTGAAGAGTTTGCATTATGACAGTTTATTATTTTAAAGTGTACAGACAGTTATAAGTCATAGTTCTCCAATTGATGAGTGAACAGAAGTATTCTGGCAAACAGCAGGCCTTGATTCTGAAATTACATGAGACCAAATAGTCAGATATTCACAATAAAATAACATTAATATAAAGTAAATTAAGACAAATATTAATTATCACACAAATTCAACATTAGTGATTAACACAGAGCAGTAATATCAAAAAGCAGCTTTAACTTGTTTGTCACTCACTTGATGATTACAGCCTAAGTAATTGTTGAAGTAGTTGAAGAATGAGTGCATTCAGGTTAGGTGCAGCAGTTGTAGCGCCTGCTACTGTGGTTGTGGTCGTGGTGGTCTTAGAGGAAATTAAGGAAAAATGATCATCATACACAGCAGAGGACTTTCTCAGTGATATTATATTAAAAGAGGATCAGTTCAGACTCTCACCTCATCTGAGTCAGAATCAGATGAGTCTGAGCGAGCAAAACGCTGGTGCTCCATCTGCATAAGGTTTGACATTACCTGCATCAAACTTTTTTATATTATATGCTATTTTTATGAAATGAACCATAATTTTATACTTACAGGTTTGGCCACAACAAGGCTCAGGAGGCATCCAAGAACAAGTGCTACCTTCAGCATGGTTACAGTGATCTGACCTTTAGGACAACAAAGTTTAAAGTTGCTTTCTGAAAAACGAATTCGTAAACAGACTATATAGATCATCAAATACATTGATAAAAGAAACTATCAAAGGCAATAATAAAAAGATCAAGTCCTCATACCTTCAGTTGGCTTTTTTAGAGACAAGTGAAGAGGTTGTAGTGTTGCTGTTAGAAGGCTTTTTCTTTTAAACCCTTACAGATGCAGGAGTGTTTCAAAACAGTGATTACATTTTTTCACCACCTTTTGTCAAGGTGTGGCTGAGAATTAATGACTTATACCTATAACATTGTGGACAAATATATCCCTAATAGTTTAGTTCACTCATAATTACATAAAAAACAAAAAGAAACACACACTGCAACAATTACAGCCATTGTTGGGACACCACAAATGAGGCAGGAGATAAATTTAGTCATGTATAAGATCAGTGATTGACTAATATATTACCTGAAATGAAAAAGCTTCCTCTGGGGAAGCTGTCAGGTTTTTATGATAATTATTACACCATGGAGTACTTTGTTAGGAAAGTATTAATCAGAACTGTTTCATGTTTTTATTTTATTTATATTTATTTTACACCTGTACTTTGATTCAGACATTCCTTGCTATTAAATAAACACATAAGTTCTTTTTTCTCATTACTTTCCAGTAATCATGTTTTCAGGATTTTGGTCGAATTTCCACAGCTTTTCATGCAAAACCAAGATAAGGGATATAGTCAGGATTTACTGGATGTCCTGGTTTAATTAAAGTAATATATTGCTTCACAAAAGCAGTAACACCTAAGATATTATGGTGATATATTCTGTAAGCTAATCTGCCATAGACTAGACAAACATTCAGCCTAAGGTAATCCTGGTGCCTTATTTGCACAGTCAGCATCACATGAATCAAAAATCAATGAGTTTTGTTACTAATTCTGTTTCCTTCTTTGTTTTTGTTTTTTGGTATTTTTATCAGCCCACAAGGTTTGGTTGGCAGCTTAAAGAGGTGACGTAGCCTGTACAGCTCCTGGGATTCTGTCTTATTTCAATTACTTTGAGGGGGATTTAAGCACTATTTCAGGCCTAAATTCACAAGTGAAATTCCAACAGTTCCTTTTTTCAATATACCACTGAGGCTGAATCTCCACTGGGTAAACCGTGGGTCTTGAAGTATAACATACCAGTACAACAGATTGCAGGGAGCATAGTCAAGAAAGAGTGAGTTCAAAGGGCTAGTCTACTAGCCTGACGTAGTCCTACTCAATTCTAGTCAGAATATGAGTCTGATACTGCTCCATAGAGCTGTGATTATGGGGCGTGTTTTGAACGAACCTGGAAAAAAAATGCCTCTGCACTCAATTAGATAGACCTACAACCAATAAGAGCAACGGAGTGCCTGACGTATGTTAAGCGACGCATAGTTGTTGTCAACAAAAATCAAAGCGTGCAGTTGCACGCCTAGAATAAGAAAAGGAGCCTTGATCGCGTTTCTCTGTTCCTCTTTTAAAATTAATTTGCTGTCGATATCTTCTAGAACAGACCTAATAGCAGAATCTACTCACCTCAACTCTCCGGCAGCAGCCATTGTTGTTGTCACCCAAGCGCGCTTTGGTCACGTGGTTGATTACGTTACTGTTCATCTGTCCATCATCGTATAAAGCCCGCCCTGACAATTTGATTGGATCGCCAGAGAGTGGGCGATCATACTCGCGCTACTATGGAGCAATGCCAGACCGAACTTCCCGACCTCAAACCTTGTGGGCGGGACTAAGTTCGGAATGGCACCCAGGCTACTAGTCTACTAAATATTGTGAAATAACAATTCCACCCACTTAATTTGATAAATACCTATGCCAGAACAGGAATGCTATATTATGTTATGTGATAACTTATTATTTGCAACAAGTGTAGCACTGACGTCTAAAATGACTCTTAAAAAAACAAAAGCAGCACAAACAACAGTTTTACCTGCATGCATCTGTACAAAAGCAGCACTAAAAGCATACACCACTTTGATTCAACTCAGAGTTTAATGGGGGATGGTTGACTTCTGGATGACATAATCTATAATCTTTAGCATCTCAAAAAGGTAGCATAAATTATCTTTTTCTTTACAAATGCTAATTTACATCAACAAACTTGTACCGAAAAAAACACTAAGCATTCAGTCTATTCAATGATTTTTTTAAATGAGGGTGGGCGTCAGTTTCATGCAGTTCAAGCTCCTCCTATTTGATGACCCAGTCCATGGTGTAAACACTGTGCATCTGAGAGGCAGAGCCCTGAACTCTCTGTGGTACTCACCGAAATGACCAATACAACAGAGTTTGATTTAATTGCATGTTATGTCTTGATATTATTAGTTAACATTATGCTAAATGCGTACGTTTTATCATATTCCTGACTTATTATATGAAACTGTCCAATTAAGAAATGTTTGTGATATACCAATGCTTGCTTTACATGAATTAGCAGTTCTCTAGTAGGGTTCTCTAGGCAGAGAACTAGGCAGAGAACCCTACCCTAAATATTTTTGATCAAGTATTGTGATCTATATTTTTTGCAAAATTGTGCAATTATGTTTATCATACAGTTTGATTTACGTTTAGAATGGTATATAACAGAGTTAAAAAATTAGAGGTATCTCCCTACAAAGCCCCTCCTGTATTACCCCCTAACACTAAGTTTGTATTATGATTGTGTGTTGAATATTCTTGATGATTTGTGAGCAGAATGCTATTCTGTATGCCTCATAATTTCCAATAAAAGGTCAGGGGAAAAAATATCACCCTTCATAGCAAAAAGCCTTAACAATGGTAGAGATTGTGAAGTTCTCGACCATCTCTTTTTTTTTATGGCTGATGCCTTTAAACAATAAAAGACAATATGGCTTAACATTTTTAAGACAAGGAACAATCAGTTAAGAGTTTGTATTATGACGGTTTATTTTTTTTAAGTGTACAGACAGTTATAAGTCATAGTTCTCCAATTGATGAGTGAACAGAAGTATTCTGGCAAACAGCAGGCCTTGATTCTGAAATTACATGAGACCAAATAGTCAAAGATTCACAAAATAATCACATTAATACAAAATGAATTAAGACAAATATTAATTATCACACAAATTCAACATTAGTGATTGACACAGAGCAGAAATGTCAAAAAGCAGCTTTAACTTGTTTGTCACTCACTTGATGGTTACTGGCGAAGTAATTGTTGAAGTAGTTGAAGAATGAGTGCATTCAGGTCAGGTGCAGCAGTTGTAGCACCTGCTGCTGTGATTGTGGTCGTGGTGGTCTTAGAGGAAATTAATAAAAACATATTATCACACACAGCAGATGACTTTCTCACATATATTAAAAGAGGATCAGTTCGGATTTAAATTCTGGGCAGTTCGGACTCTCACCTCATCTGAGTCGGAATCAGAATCAGATGAGTCTGATCGGGCAAAACGTTGGTGCTCCATCTGTAAAGTTTAACATTACCTGCATTCAAATTTTTTATATTATATTCTAGTTTTTATAAAATTAAACATAGTTTTATACATACAGGTTTAGCCACAACTAGGCTCAGGAGGCATCCAAGAACAAGTGCTACCTTCAGCATGATTACAGTGATCTGACCTTTTGGACAACAAAGTTTAAATTACTGTTGCTATTTGGATGAAGTTCTCCTTTAAACACTTACAGATGCAGAAGCGTTTCAAAACTGGGATTAGATATTTCAACAACTTGTTTCAAGGCGCGTCTGAGAAATAAAGATTTAAATCCTGTTAGGATCCTCAGGCTTGCCCACCAGAGGGCACCGAGGATCCTCTTTTGTTCTTTGTTTCTTTCCATTAGGACTGGAGTTACTGCTGGGATCTGGAGATTACCCTCTGTCTCCAGCAGAGTGCGCCGTGGGTCTCCTAGGGCTGGAGTCTTCCTGCACACCGGTTGCTAATCCTCTCATCAGAAGACCTCTCCTTTATAAGCTCCTGCCTGACCTTGCCTCCACGCCGCAGTGTTGATCTTAGTTGGTTAGCTTCCTAAGCCTCTGTTACAGATTGAATCTTGGTAGTCTCTAGTGTGTGATTAGATTCTTATCTCTCCTTTGTCTGTGCCTCACAGGAAACCTGTCTCTGGTCTGAAGCTCAGGAAGAGCTGCCTCACTGGAAACCTGTCTCTGGTCTGAAGCTCTGGGAGAGCTGCATCACAGGAACCAGTCTCAAGCCTGAAGCCTGAGAGCTTAACCTGCTAATCTGCCCTGGTGAGCCAACCTGAAGGTTCCTATGTGGAATCACCCTGAAGAATCCTTTGTGGATATTCCCTGTTGTTCTCTGCAATGAGCTGGAAGCTCAGCCTGAAGAATCCTATGTGGATGTTCCCTGTTGTTCTCTGCTAAGAGCTGGAAGCTCAACCTTGAAGAATCCTATGTGGATATTCCCTGTTGTTCTCTGCAGTGAGCTGGAAGCTCAGATCAAGGTCTGCTATGCTAAGCCTGAAGCTAGATGCTTAGCTTCACATGAACTCTGCTAACCAACAGTCTCCGGTCCCAGTCAAGACTTCAGTTAACCAGCCCAACCCTGTTTCAGAACTCATTCATTATCCTTGTGTTTGTGCAACAATAAACTCTGTTTAACTTTTACCCCGTTTCCGTGTGTGTTCTGCATTTTGGGCTTAACTCTAAGAACCCATCATGTCAGAACACTGCGGCCATACGCAAAGCCCAGCAGATCACCTCCGTCGGTGGATTGAGGAACGGGACGCTGAGATCCATGGACATGCACAAACCCTCCGTGAGTTACATCTAAATCAAACATTCGCTAGCCACTTAGATAATGCTAACGCCACGTCAGCGGCACGTCCTGCCCCGAATCCACTTCCGTTTCCTAGGTCACCGGTAGTGATGTCATTTCCTAGTCAAGATAATAACCCTCCTTTCTGGTCAGAACACAGCCCGTCATATTCTTCACTCAGTCCTTCTCTGCCTGAGAGATTTTCCGGCAGTCCAAGTAAGCTCAAGTCATTTCTATTTCAGTGTCGGTTATTTTTTCAATTTTATGAGTCTAATTTCCTGTATGATAAGGATAGGATAGCTTTTGTTGTGTCTTTCCTGTCCGGAAAAGCCCTTGAATGGGCAGAGACCAGATTTCCATTTAAGACCAGAATTAACTGTACCTATGAGGATTTCATCCAGGAATTTGAAAGGACCTTCAATCAGGTCACTAAGTCCTTCGTTTCTAGTAGACTTCTTGAAACTAAACAGGGAGATAGATCCGTTGCCGAGTTTTCCTCCGAGTTCCAGGTAAAAGCAGCCGTTTCCGGGTGGAACGAGTCTGCGCTTAAAGCCGCTAATCTCCTTGCCCTAAATGAACCTGTCCGTAACGAGCTTACATTTTATGATGAGCCAGCTAACTTGGAGGACCTCATAGAGCTAGCTATAGGGCTAGATATAGAATTGCAAGCCAGATCCAGTCCCCTTCTGCGCCAGGTTAGTCTCAGCTCTCATTTACGCGATCTTCACTTAGCTCTATCCGTTAAAGGACTCAAAATAGGCCCACCAGATAAACATCAAACAGTTAGAGCTCCCCACGTCCATAAGTCTGATCTCTGGAATTATTTTTATGGGGATAGAGAGGATATCTTCCCCTTCATGCCACCACATTCAGCTCCACGCCAGCCAGATCCTGCTCCAGAACCTGAAAATAACTCAGTTAGTTTTAAACCTGTTCCCATGCCTGATTCTCTTGCCACTGAACCAGTAATCCGTTCTGGAACTTTAATTTTCCAACCCGCTAACTTGTTGCCAGAATCAGTCAATAAACCTGCTAGCTTAGCTCCCAAGACCCCTCGGCGTAAGAAACGGCGTCGCCTTAAGTCAGCTCTGTGCCGTCTAGAGACCCCTGGGTCAGCTCTGTGCCGTCTAGAGACCCCTGAGTCTGCTCTGTGCCGTCTAGAGACCCCTGAGTCTGCTCTGTGCCGTCCAGAGACCCCTGAGCCTGTCCTGTGCCATCCAGAGACCCCTGAGCATACACTTAAGAGGGCTTCAGAGTTTGGAGTTGGCGGAAATATGCCTCCAAGAGCCTCTCTGCAGGGGCCACAAACTGCCAAGAGCCCTCTACAGACGCTTCAAGCCACTTCAGAGACTGAACATGAGCCTCCATGGGTGGTTTCCCCTGTTCCTGAGACGGAGCCACGGTCGGTGGTCTCTCCAGTTCCTGAGGTAGAACCACAGTCGGTGGTGTCTCCAGTTCCTGAGGTAGAACCACAGTCGGTGGTTTCTCATGTCCCGGATGTGGAGCCGCGGACGGCGGGCTCCTCAGTTCCTGTCCAGGAGCCGCAGGTGGCGGTCTCCTGTGGGCCTGTTCCTGGGACGCGGTCGGTGGTCCTCCCTGTTCCTGATCCGGAGCCGCAATCGGCGGGCTCCCCTGTTCCTGACTGGGAGCCGCAATCGGCGGGCTCCCCTGTTCCAGATCCGGAGCCGCAATCGGCGGGCTCTCCAGTTCCAGACCTGGAGCCACAATCGGCGGGCTCCCCTGCTCCAGAGCCGCAATCGGCGGGCTCCCCTGCTCCAGAGCCGCAATCGGCGGGCTCCCCTGCTCCAGACCCAGAGCCGCAATCGGCGGGCTCCCCTGCTCCAGACCTAGAGCCGCAATCGGCAGGCTCTCCTGTTCCAGACCTAGAGCCGCAATCGGCGGGCTCTCCTGTTCCAGACCCAGAGCTGCAGTCGGCGGGCGCTCCTGTTCCAGACCCTCCTCCAGAGCCGCAGTCGGCGGTCTCCTCAGAGCCTCCTCCAGAGCCGCAGTCGGCGGTCTCCTCAGAGCCTCCTCCAGAGCCGCAGTCGCCGGTCTCCTCAGAGCCTCCTCCAGAGCCACAGTCGCCGGTCACTACAGAGCCTGTTCCTGAGCTGCCGAGGAGGGGACGGGGTACTCCGTGGGGGTAACTGCTGAAGTGTGGGCGTCATCCTCCTGAGAAGCTGCTTCGCTTTCGGCACCGTGGCAGACCCCCGGAGCATCGGCTTTGCCTTCGGCCCCGCGGCAGACCCCCGGAGCATCATTTTCACCGCCGACCCCGTGGCAGACCCTCAGAGCGCGTCAGCTTTGCCTCCGGCCCCGCAGCAGAACCCCGGAGCGTCGGCTTCGCCTTCGGCCCCCCGGCAGAACCCCGGAGCGTCGGCTTCACCTTCGGCCCCGCGGCAGACCCCCGGAGCGTCATCTTCTCCGCCAACCCCGTGGAAGACCCCCGGAGCGTCATCTTCACCGCCGACCCCGTGGCAGACCCCTAGAGTGTCAGCTTCGCCTCCGACCCCGCAGCCGGCCAGCTAAGACTCTGCTCCATTGCCGGATCCTCGGCCGGCCTCCAGAACCTCAGCCATGCCTCCGGCCCGGCAGTGGTCCTCCTAAGACGCTGCTCCGTCTCCAGCCCTGCGGTTGGCCTCCTGAGCATCTGTCTCGCCTCCGGCCCAGCGGTAGGCTCCCTGAGAATCGGCCTCGCTTCCGTCCCAACGGTCGTCCTCCTGAGCATCTGCTACGCTTCAGCTGCCGGTCCCTCGGCCGGCCACCTGAAACTCTGTCCCGCTGCCGGTCCCTCGGCCGGCCACCTGAGACTGTCCCGCTGCCGGTGCCACGACCGGCCACCTGAGACGTTGCCCAAAAAATTTTCTGGGTTTTCTTTTGTTTTCATCCACCGTAAGTGGATCATTTTCTGTTCTGGACTTTGTTTTTGTTTTTGCCCTCCTGGCCTGTCTCCTCCATCGCCCACTCTGGGTGGGTTGTTTTTTGTTTTCTGGACTCTGTTTTTTGTTCCTGGCCCTCCTTGCCTTAGTGCCCCCTCCGCCCACCCTGGGTGGGTTGTTTTTTGTTTTCTGGACTTTGTTTTTTGTTCCTGGCCCTCCTTGCCCTAGTGCCCCCTCCGCCCACCCTGGGTGGGTTGTTTTTTGTTTATTTTTGTTGGATTTTTTTCAGGGGGCGTCTGGAATCCGCCCTTGAGGGGGAGGCTCTGTTAGGATCCTCAGGCTTGCCCACCAGAGGGCACCGAGGATCCTCTTTTGTTCTTTGTTTCTTTCCATTAGGACTGGAGTTACTGCTGGGATCTGGAGATTACCCTCTGTCTCCAGCAGAGTGCGCCGTGGGTCTCCAAGGGCTGGAGTCTTCCTGCACACCTGTTGCTAATCCTCTCATCAGAAGACCTCTCCTTTATAAGCTCCTGCCTGACCTTGCTTCCACGCCGCAGTGTTGATCTTAGTTGGTTAGCTTCCTAAGCCTCTGTTACAGATTGAATCTTGGTTGTCTCTAGTGTGTGATTAGATTCTTATCTCTCCTTTGTCTGTGCCTCACAGGAAACCTGTCTCTGGTCTGAAGCTCAGGAAGAGCTGCCTCACTGGAAACCTGTCTCTGGTCTGAAGCTCAGGAAGAGCTGCCTCACTGGAACCCTGTCTATGGTCTGAAGCTCTGCGAGAGCTGCTTCACAGGAACCAGTCTCAAGCCTGAAGCTCTAGGAGAGCTTAACCTGCTAATCTGCCCTGGTGAGCCAACCTGAAGGTTCCTATGTGGAATCACCCTGAAGAATCCTTTGTGGATATTCCCTGTTGTTCTCTGCAATGAGCTGGAAGCTCATCCTGAAGAATCCTATGTGGATG